GAACAGCACCATCTACAGGCCTGGCATATGTACTACAGCGTCTCCAGCGCTTTCGAACGGCAATGGCCGTGGCTGTCTCCTCCTGATTGGTGGAGTTGGCCCAATAGCCGTAGCGCCACCGTCCTGACGTCAGGACAGTGTTCAAATCTGGATCAGTTTTGATCAGATCCGTTGCAGCCCCTTTTTTAGAGATTTGGGTATGGAGGAAAATAGAGAGGGTTGTGTTTTCTGACACTTGGTGAGTTCCCTGGAACACCGGGGACACATATTCATGTATAAAAGACGTGCAAAAGTGCATTTTGCATGATCGGTCCCCTTTAAGTAACTTAAAAGTTACTGTTCACAGTAACGCATTACTTTTTGGTGTAAGTAATCAGTAAAGTAACTGAGTTACTTTTGAAATGAAGTAATTAGTAATGGTAACTAGTTACTGGTTTTCAGTAACTAGCACAACACTGCGAATGGCGCATCACAGTCCCTGGAATATAGCATAACATGAATACTTTCCATGAGGGGACGAAGGCTGGGAACAATACAAACCTGCCGCTGTGAAAAAGTAGAGACTAAGGTCACACTTTGTCCAGCGATAAACAAAAGGGGGGAACAAGGGCAGCTCTCTGCGTGCAGACAGGCAGGAGAGAGGCGCACAGCTGGATCCCTGACATCGCTCACTCTGACAAGACACTCCGTACAAAATGTGTCAGAGGAAAAAAGGAAACATCCCTCTCACAAGAGGGAAAAAGGGCCGCTCTCCGCGTGCTGAGAGGCAGGAGAGAGGCGCACAGTTGGGTCCCTGACGTCACTCAATCTGACAGGACACTCAGCACAGGGTGTGTCAGAGAGGAATGGGAGACATCCCTCAAATAAAATTGAATAAATGAACAGGGGGAAGACCAAGAGGCAGCAGTGCAAATGTCTTCCACCGACATTCCTCCGTGCAAAGCCATGGAGGAGGAAAATTCCTCTGGTGGAGTGCGCACTGATGTTCTCCGGGGGATCCACCCCAGATGAGACATATGCCTGCGACACAGCCTCACACACAGCCAGTGTGACAGCCGTTGTGCAAACAGAGGCTGCCCGAATGAGCGCTCTCTGTAATACACAACCAGGCGCTGGGAAGGGCGCAAAGCAGCCGTGCGCGACACATAGCAGGACAGCGCGCGCACGGGACAGAGGAGATGAGATGTGGCTTCCTCCTCCGACCTGTAAGGGGGAGGAAAGAAGCCATCCAAGGTGATCACTCTTGACCTAAAAGAGCTCATGATGACCTTTGGCATAAAAGCCGGGTTAGGGTGTAAAACAGCTGAACTGCCATCTCCTTGGATCCGGAGACATGACGGAGCCACAGAGAGAGCAGGCAAATCACTTACCCTTTTCGCTGTTAGAGCCAAAAGTAATACTACTTTGGCTGATAACAGTTTAAGGGGAACCTGATCTAAAGGTTCAGCGAAGTGCTGGAATACTCCCCAAAACGGAGAGCAGCTCCAGCACATTTACCTCTGACGCACGGGGTCGATGCACAGGCGAATGAACCACCTCTGGAGTCTCCTCCTGTGGGGGAGACCCAGGGGGATCACCACGTGACCAGCTGACGTCATGCTGAGCAGCTGTATCACGGAGAGGGCTGTCACCACGCTGCGGGATGTGACACGCCGGAGGAGAGTCGTCAGTTTCTCCACTCTCTGCCGCAAGAACCGCAAGAGCCGCGTTCTCATGCTGGCTGAGTTTAATTCCACTCCCAGATAAATGATTGTCTGAGAGGGAAGAGGACAGATCTTCTTCCAATGTATGAAAAAAACCCAGGCTTTGACAGATGCGATACGAGATGTAACGTCTGTAAAGCAACTTCCTCCCTGGAGTGAGCCCACAATAGCAGGTCGTCCAGATCCAGAACCACACTCTCATCCCTCCTCTGTGTAGTGGCTCCAGCCTTCTCTACACACCTTGAAAATGTGCGAGGAGCCAGGGAATATCTGAACGGCAGACGATTGTCTGGTCTGATATTCCCTGAAATGAGAAACGCAGGGATTTCCTGTGTTTCGGGATGATGGGTACATGGAAGTATATGTGCATGCTTCAGGTTTATGGAAGTGAACCAGTCGTCCTAGTGAAGACATTCCAGCACCTGTTTGATCGTCAGCATTCTGGGACAGAGGAATGCCGCGAGCTCTGCAGTTTATAAACCAATAGGTTAAAACCAGCAGGCTTCTGCAGCGAATGAACCACCTCTGGAGTCTCCCCCTGTTGGAAGAGACCCAGGGGGATCACCACGTGACCAGCTGACGTCAACGCCGAGCAGCTGCGTCATGGAGAGGGCTGTGGGGGTTGTGACACACCGGAGGAGAGCTGTCAGTTTCTCCACTCGCTGCCGCGAGAGCCGCGCTCTCCTGCTGGCTGAGTTTAATTCCACTCCCAGATAAATGATTGTCTGGGAGGGAAGAGGACAGCTCTCCTTCCAATTCATTATGAAACCCAGGCTTTGACAGATGCGATACGAGATGTAACGTCTGTAAAGCGACTTCCTCCCTGGAGCGAGCCAGCAAATAGCAGGTCGTCCGGAGAAAACCACATTCTCATCCCTCCTCTGTGTAGTGGCTCCAGCCTTATACACACTTTGAAAAAATGGGAGAGGGGAACTGCAGGGTGTACCCTCTGCTTGATTAGCCTGCTCATCCATCTGTCCATCAGACACATGTGCTGCCACAATGAGAAACACTCTGAGAGCGGGCGCACATGCTCGAGATGTGTTGTGGTTGTCATGGCGACGAGCCACGTCAGAGCCCTCGCCGCCGCTGCCCGTGAGGCAACCCAAGGTGGGCCTGGAGCGAAAGGGCTGTGAGGGAGCCTCCACACGCTGCGTTTCACTCCGGCTCTCATCATGAGGCGTACACGCTCAGGGGATGAGTGGAAGTGTGTGCAGTGCTGTTCACATGAGGCGTTATAATGGCGCTCATGGGTTTATTATGACCGTGTGTAGGAGGCGTATCTCGGACAGAGGAATGCCGCAAGCTCTGCAGTTTATTAACCGAGGTTAGGCAGCTGGCTTACACAGAGTGGGGGATATGTGAGAAACACTTGTTACTGACGACTCAGACAAAAAGTTGGAAAATGAACACACTTTATTTTACTCACAATCCCCCAAACGTCAGAACCGGCTCTGCTTCCTCGGAGGCTCTCGCGGAGCAGACCAGGAGCGGGGGAGCCTCACTCCCCTTTGACTCGCCGCCGGGAGACCCTGTCTCTGGGGTGGCGGGGGGGCGGAGACGTGGGACGGAGCCCCTGCAGCCGCCGAAGGGCGAGTTTCCCGACGCCGAGGCGGTTGCTGTGGGCGTCTCTCCGCTTGCGGCCTCTGCTGCCGCTGTGGCCAGTGTGGACCCTGCGGCTGCTGCGGCTGCTGCGGGCGTTGGTGCCGCTGTGGGCGCCCAGCAGGCTGGAGCCAGCTGACATGCTGGCGAATGTCGTCCGCCTGTTCCGCGGCCGTCTTCATGGACTCCACCATGGCGTGGAACTGGGGTCCGAACAGCCCGTCCGGGCTGATTGGAGCGTCCAGCAGCACTTTTCTGGCCATCTCCGTAACGGACGCCTGCTGCAGCCAGAGGAAACCAGCATCTGTGAATCCCTCCACCTTGGTGAGGGGAACAAATGTGGCCACCGGAGCCTTCAGGGTCCTCGGGTTCGCCGCCGCCCCCTCCCGGTACCTCCTGACGGCCGGGAAGCGTGGCCAGATCGGGTCACTCCTGACCGTCTGCACCCGCGAAAAAATCCGGCCATGTCGTCCGGAGCACACCTCTCCTGAGCTAGGGGAACGGGGAGATCTCTGCAGGGGGCCGCCTTGCGTATGATCTCCAGCAGTTCCCCTAGGATGCCACCTATCGCCGGTAGCGCTGTGGTGACGGAGAAGGGGACCGCATGTTCGGTCGCCAAGCTGGCACCTTGCTCCGACTCTGTCTCCCCCGTCCGGGGGAGAGGAGGGAGGGGAGAACCGAAAGAACCGTGGAGGGAGGCGGGGTAGGAGTCATCCGACTCCCGCCCAGCACTCGGCTCCAGGGACACGAGGCCCCCGTCCGCGGGCTCGTAAGCTTGGACGGGCCAATCGTCCTCCTCGGCCGCAGCAGCGAGAGCGTCCGCTCTTCGCTTCCTGTCGCCCGAGGGGCGAGTCCAGGGGCCGTTTTTCAGTCCCAGTCCCTCCCTGATAGATCATCCCATACTAAAGTGTAGGATCACACTAAGACTTTCTTACCATAATCTCCCAAGCTATGCTAAGGTAAGGCCATGCTCTCTAATACAGTAGGCCTATTTGGGGTTTCATTTTATTGGCAACATAACACTAAATGTTGCCTTTAACCTAATATCAATGTGTATTCTTTTTAGGTTCTTGCATTTACTTTGACTATTTCAATTGTTATGCTACTTTAAACTTCTCGAGAAGATTGACAAATAATCAGTCATTTAAATCATGCATTCAAAACTGCAAATAAGTGCAATAAAATATACATTAAGTACCAAAAGTAAAAAGTAATTATTATGTAGATATTTGAGTTTATATTTAACCTGTTACGCACCGCCCCCCCGGAACCGGGCGGATAAACGCGTCAAGAATTTTTGGACGGACACTATAATTTACAGTTTTTTACTATGTAAAATCTGAATTTTCTTTAAAATAAAAAGCATCTATATTGATTCTGACTTTTCTACATCCAACTCACAGGTTTATCATTACTTTGAGAAAAAAGATTATTAATTTTACCCTTTTAGAAGGGAAGATATGGTCATTTGTTCTGGGAATGGCATTTTCGAGCCTGAGACCTGAAAAACAGGCTCAGAGCTTAACAGGTTAACAATATAATTATTCTTGTAAAAATAAAAGACATGTTTCTAATGCCTCAGGTAAGAGTGACTCTAATAAAATGACTTTATCTTTTTCTAATTATAATTTATTCTATGATTACATTTTGTATTAACCTGGCATAAATGTTTTATCCTTTAATCCTGTACCAAAGGAAGTGGTCACAGTGTCAGGCTGGAGCTGGACAATATCATGAAGGAATCATCTTTTAAAGGAAGAACATGTTTCACCATCGTTCTCCTTCTGCTCATGGCTTTCTTAATATTCTTCCAGGTGAGAACTGTTATCTGGGATCACTAATAGGGTTGACTTATTGTGACATGTTTAACATTAGTCCGATTGTTTTAGGAGACAGGCCCTATGCAGGGACACAGACAAACATGAGGGCACACAGTTAATGTAAAAGAAACAGATTATGTCTAAATGATGCTACACGTATACTTCAACAACAACAACAACAACAGCGCATAAATATGAGAGGATGCATTTTTCTGAAATATAGGTACGAATTCTTTGCAAAGTACATTCAGGTATTTATTCTTTACATATGCTGTTATTCAATTGGAATAAAAAAGCATATTGTTTAATAAATAGATCAGTGGCGGCCGGTCCATAGGGGCGCTAGGGGCGCCGCCCCACCTCTTCCCATATTGAAAAAAAAAAATTAAAAAAAAAATTAAAATTAAAATTAAAAAAAATATATATATTTAAAAAAAATATATATTTTTATTTTTAATGAACAAGGTAAATATTATATAATTGGTATCAGTAAAATGTATAATCTACAATAAAATCTCGTTTAAAATTGTGTTACGATGTCTAAAGTTACTGATAAGTCACATGTTTCCTGCCTGGCCTTGCCCATGCACCTTCTCTCGTCTGGGCGCTAAGAGAGGAGCCTTCAACCAGTGCAGCAGCAGCCACTAGCAGCTGACTGTTGCTATCTGTAACGTGTAAACTATGCCGCGAAAATATAATTTCAGCCAATCAGCGTCGTCAAAGATGACGGTCACCGGGCGCCAATGTCAGCGCCCAGTGCAGTCTGTGAGTAGTTTGGACAGTGACTCGTATCCGGTTGACGCAGTAGTTGATGAGGATGGCTTCGTGTGCAGGTGGAGTCTCCGGACCTCGGTCCCCGCCTAATTCTGTTCAAGAGCTAATCTCCAATCCTTTCGAAAGGAGAAGTTTGGCAGATAAATTGTTGCTTAAAGACCTTGGACCGGACCAACCCGATTTGAATATATCGCAGCAATCTCGTGAAAAAGACAAAACTTATACACGAGGCTTCGCAAGTAGCTGGTACACAAAAAAGGCTTGGCTAGCTGGATGCAAACAGGTAAATGCTGTCTTTTGTTTCCCATGCTTGGATATCACTTTATATGTAGAGAGGAGGTTTCCCATGGTTGTTAGAAGTTTATTAATAAGTGGGCATTTATCACAGAAGTGATTGTTCTGTCTCCACGTTTGTTGCATTGTCTGTGATGTATTTTCCAACGGTTCCTGGTAAAGTAGTAGATGTTCAGGTTGATAAATAATATTTTCCACACTGAAGATTATGGAGGTATTGATCAGTCTTCTCATATTTTTAAGCCTCGATTTCTCCTTTCCCCCCCCCCCTCTAACATCACCAGAAGTCATCATTTAAGGGGTCATTTCTCGAAAAAAATTTGCGGGGGGAAACCCCCCGGACCCCCCGGACGGGTCACTCCCGGTACGTCAAGAGCCCCACCAAAAAAATAGACCACCGGCCGCCACTGAAATAGATAATATAAAATCCATCAAATTCCAATTTCTGAACTGCAGGTATGAATGGAATTCCAGAAATGTTTTATATGTGGCTAAAACGAATGTTTCCTTTTTCAGCTTAACATATGGGACACATTGGTGAGTTATTTTTGGATGTGTGTTGTGCATGAGCCATCCACAGTGTATGTTATATGTTTGAGTCAGCCTGTCCTCCTACAAAAAACGACCATATAGGCCGATTGTTCAAGCCATTATTACGACCCAGAAACACGTTTTAAAGTGTATGTTGTTTCTTACACGACCACTAGAGGTGCTCTAGTGGTCGTGTAAGAAACAACATGCTTGATTGCAAACGCTCCGGAGGGACGTTTATTCACAAATAACCCTCTCTGGAAAATCCTAAATTGTGGAATAGTTTGGCCATTAAAATGCTTTTTGATTCGATTTCTGGCGAGAAGTGTATATTGCACTCTTAGAATCCACGTCCAGTCGATGTGTAGGATCTATACTGTAGTTTGATAGATATTACGAAGATGATTTGAGGTCTCGCCAGGATAACGTGTATATGGGGCAGCTTCCATGTAAAGTTAGCGTGGGTGAAAACAGTTTTTCCGGTCTCGAAGTTTTCATAATAAAACCGGATATATTCCCCTCACTGTCAAATGATTACACAGTGATATCTGCATTACTCATCCACTAAAAAACATCAGTTTATCCTTGTTAATTACACAATATTGATTGGTTTAAATTGTGTACAATGCTTTTGTGTTTTTAACCTTCGATTCAGAGAAACAAATAGTTTTTTCGGAGTTTAGACACTACAGAGTTTCCGAAGACACAACACTACCCAGAATCCCCAGCTATCGTTTGGGAACTACAACATCCGCCTTGCTTTACAAACCCCGTGATTAGTCCTCAAGCCCTGTGATTGGATGTTGGAGTGGCAGTGCGACAAGGTTACGCCGAGCGTCAACAGCTCTTTGAAATGGAATGGAACCACGGCAGACTATCCACAACTGGAATTGGACGGGTTCAGCCCAAGCCCCCAGGAAGTGCGCCGGACTCAGATGAAAATATTCGTGCTGGCCAAACGGCGGTACTACACTTCCTTTTGGTTGCCAGGCCCGGAAACACTTTTTCCCATTGATTTACATGGGGAAAGAGTGGTCTGTAAATCGTTGGATAATTTTTTTTAAACTAAATAAACTACGCAGTATGAACACTTGTATAGCCCTTATTAAAAACATTCGTTCCTCAAGTTGTAAAAATGTGCTAATAACGTTATTCTGCGAGTTATTTCCCTCTGCATTATGAGCGCGCATCTAACCCACGGGACCGCGCCGCCCGGCACGTTCATGTTACGTGTTCAGCACTACATGCGTTTATCTTTACCCATGGATGCACAATAAGAACGGACCCATATCGCCTTACTGCCAGCCCACGGAGCTGTACTAATGGATATATTGCACATGTTTGCTGTAATTCATCATTTGTAAAATATTATACTACATGGGCTGTATGATTAAATCTTGTACCGTAAATGTTGTTTTAAATAAAGTTAATATTACCGACGTAGATTAACGTCCCTGTAGCTTCTTATTGCACCAACAAGCTTATTGCATTGTATATATATATATATACCTCAAATCATCTTCGTAATATCTATCAAACTATAGATCCTACATATCGACTTGACGTAGATTCTAAAAGTAAAATATACACTTCTCGCTAGAAATCTAATCAAAAAGCGTTTTAATGGCCAAACTATCCTACGATTTAGGATTTTACAGAGAGGGTTATTTGTGAATAAACGACCATCTGTAACGTTTGCATTCAACGGGAGCACTAGAGGCCGAAAACTTTAAAACGTAATTATAGGTCGTATTAAGCGCTTGAACAAACAACACATTTGGTCGCAATAAGGGCTTGAACAATCGGCCCATTTGGTCGTATGAGTTGGAGGACTTGTTGGTTTGAGTGTAATGTGTTAGCACAGGTGTTGCTGATTAGATCAGATTTTCTGCACAAACCAACATTAAAGTGGAGACATACGGAGAACATCAGATCATTTATCTACAATCACAGTTGAGTTGATGGCAATTGCACGAGGCATTACAGGGGTAAGAAGAGATGCAAATCCAAAGGATTATTCTATGTATAATGGTTTAGGACCAAATTGAACTGAGTGTTGAGGTGGGCACTCCTAGATTCAGTGTCTCCAGGACACCAAAAACGAGTGGTTGGCTGTGCATCTAGGATAAGTAATAAGGGAGTTATTGTGAGTTTAAGTGCCGTTTTAGGTTACATTTTTTGGCTCGTGGCTAATTCAGAGGCTGAGTGCTAGCATTGTGGGGTTTTTTTGGAGAAAAAAAATGTAAAAGATCAGTTAGCTGAGTTTCTTCCCGTTACATGGATATAAAACATTCATAGTTTTATTAAATATTAAGATTCCTTAGACGTTGTTTCCTGCAAATGACGCGTTTATCCGCCCGGTACCGGGCGGATGGTGCGTAACAGGTTAACAAATATTCATAGATTTGCTGCATTTGTTTGACGTATCTACGTAAACTTCTCTCTGTCTCTCAACCCCTTCAAGTTTCAGCCTAAAATGAGCTCCACCATCATCTACTCGAAAGCTACTACTGAAGTCCGCAGCATCTGCAACTTCCCACCATTGTCCCCTAAGGATGCTCTGGAGGAACGCCTGATACTAAAATCTGTTGCTTGGCCTGAAACTCCTGCATTGCAATCTCCTCTTTCCCTGGAGCTGACCAGTGATCCAGCTCACAGCTCTTTCACCATTCTCCCAGCGAGAGGAGGAGGACAATGGCACGTAGGGGATCAGCTGGAAGTTAGCATCATCATCTCTGACTTCAAGGGACAACCCAAGAAGTCTGGGGGGGACTTTTTATTTGCCCGGCTGCACAACCTAACGCTTGGTGCAGGTGTAGCTGGGAAAGTGGTGGACCATCTCAATGGGAGCTACTCTGCTGTCTTTCCTTTACTCTGGGAAGGAGCAGCTCAGGTTGAGGTGATGCTTAAAACTATATTTGTCTATGTGATTTTGCTGTAGGTGTGTCATTTGTCTTCCAACTGATTACTCACAAAGCCCCACCCCCTTTTAACTAATGTTGATACGACTTTTTATTTCAGACAAAATCAGAGTCTAGCCACCAATTGTACATTTTCAACAAAAACTCTTGTTTTCTACCCAATCAGGTGACGCTAGTTCATCCCAGTGAAGCTATCACAGTGCTGAACAGGTTGACGAGTGAACAACCTGACAGGGTATTTTTCATAAGCCTCTTTCGCTCAGGCTCACACTCTGAAACCACCATCTGTAACAGCTGCCTGCGTCAAACCAAGCAGCCAATCTGCGACTTCACCGACCCTCGAACCGGCGATCCTTGGTTCTGCTACAAGCCAAAGAACATGAGCTGTGATGCAAGGATCGCCCGCAGCACTGTAGGATACAAACAAACGCTCAAGGCCAAGGAGGATGAGCTCTTTCAAGGGTAAGGAAGCAAAGAGACTGGTCATTTGTGTGACTTCTTATAAATACATACATCATGTGTTACCTATTTATCTCCTTGGCTTGAAGTTTCAGAAGTTTGTCAGTACAGGCAGTTTAGATTAAAGGATAATGTAACCACTCAGTCTGAATCATAGTTGACCTTCATGTTTGATAGGATATAAATCTGGATTTTCTGTTTTAATTTCATAATGTTGTTTATCTGTACACATAACATCTACACATGTCTGTACCTCCTCGGAGAAGTAACCTTTCTCTCATTCTCCCCGAGGTTCTTCTATTTTTTCCCTTTAACCTGTTAAGCCCGAGAGACCCCGGTACCGGGGTACTGCCGCAACATCTTGCAGGAAACAGTGTCTGAGGGCATGTTCATTTAATAAAACTATGAATGTTTTATATCCATGTAACGGGAAGAAACTCATCTAACTGATCTTTTTTTTTTTTTTTTCAAAAGAAAACCCACAATGCTAACACTGAGCCTCTGAATTAGCAACGAGCGAAAAATGCTAACACCTTACTGCACCAAAAATCACTCACAAAACCTTATTATTTATCTTTTCACCACATCCAACACATCGATTCACATCGTGAGGTGGCACAGAATCGATTGACACCGAGATCACCACTGAATTATACGTATTTGCGACGTGATATGCAAAAACGGACATCAAAACAGGTGACGCTAGGTAGCTAAAAATGCTAACATTTTTACCTTGGCTCTGTAGTCTCTCCAAAGTGGTCTTCAATGGCATTAAAACGATAAAAACGCTGCTGAACTTAATCCATAGGTTAATCTAATGTGTCTGTGTCCCTTTGAAATGATTTCTGATAATCCATAAGCCTTAAAACTGCTTTTCCGTTTTCAGATGTCAAAGCTAGAGATAGGTCCACTCTGATGCAAAATTACATGCGCGAAACCCCCACCTTTTCTCTTCACAACGGGTGTGTGTGGGGGACTCCCCCTTTGATTCTATTGGCTCTAACGGTCAGAAAGAGGTGTCAACCATCAAAATCGAGCAAGGGGGGCCAGAGATATGGAAAATCCACCCAAATGACCCCAGAAGTGGTTTATTTTTGCTAAATCTCTCTAAAAAGGTCAAATGTCACTTGTTTTACATCAATCTTGATACAGGGTACTTATTATATGTTGTACTTTGGATTCCTAAAGCTTTTAGTCTACCTTACCATCATCCAAGGGTGGTTTTCACTATAAGTAAAAAATAATTTTTGGACGGACACTATCATTTACAGTTTTTTACTATGTAAAATCTGAATTTTCTTTAAAATAAAAAACATCTATATTGATTCTGACTTTTCTACATCCAACTCACAGGTTTATCATTACTTTGAGAACAAAGATTATTAATTTAACCCTTTTAGAAGGGAAGATATGGTCATTTGTTCTGGGAATGGCATTTTCGAGCCTGAGACCTGAAAAACAGGCTCAGGGCTTAACAGGTTAATCCCTTAAAAAGGTTAAAAAGGGAATTTTTCCTTGTGCGCTGCGAGTGTGTGAGGACAGAGGGCGTTGTGTGCTCCAGAATACACTTTATAAAGCAAATGAGACAAATGTGTGATATTTTGATTATTTTATCAATTTATAGTTTCACTTCCGGGACAGCTGTGGTCAAATACACTTTTATTATCTTTTGCAAAATGTTATGCCGTAAGACTTAGCTCTAAGGTGTGAACCTTCCAAGTTCACAAAAGGACAATGTAGGGTGGCAAAAGCTGCAGCAAAAGACCCCTTATATCAATATAATGAAGATAAGATACAGCATGAAAAGTAGACCTTCTAAACTGTTTACCCCAGGTAAACCTCCATGCCATTCCACAACCATGTAGAAAAGCTGCATTTGGGATATTAATGTTTATTGTAGTATTGTGTGTGTGCTTTTCTTCAGTCGTGTCAACTTGAAAGTCTGCATTCTGGCTTCAGGACCAGCCGGTGTCACTGTTTTACCAAAAAAGGAAGGTAAGGAATGCATTTATCACTGAATTCACGATCTAATGTGCTCCATGTACAGATGATGAAAGTGTAGGGGCAGAAAAAAACAACAACTCTTTCTTTTGGGATCATTTTTCTGTTGAGAGATGCATTTAGCAGGCCAATTTGACAGGAGCAAAGGGAGCATGGAGCTCTCAGCTCAAACTTTGTCAACACGGCACAGCTGTTGCAGTGTGTAGTCTCTCAGGAGTAAGGCCATAAAATGTTCATACATTCAGTCTATATCTTGATTTGGTTAAGGTCAGTAACAAACGTAAAACAAGCCCCCTATTATCTTTCAACTTTCTCTCAGGTCAACCAGAGGTGGAGAGCAGCATTGTGAACTTTCAAGCCTCTGGCTATTACTACCAGGGTTTATGGCGAGCACTAGATGGCAACACAGTTCGCCAATTCACCGGCGCATCTGCCATCACTCAGTGTCTAAAAGGCAAAGTGGTCCACCTGTATGGAGACTCTACCATCAGGCAGTGGTTTGAGTTCCTCAACGCAGCACTACCAGGTAACTAATCCACAGGGATTTCCGGCAACAGTTTCATTATGTTCACACTGTATCTTAATCTGTTTCCTCTGTAATACCTTTAGATCTTAAGGAGTTTAACCTGGGCAGCTCGAGGCAAAATGGACCTTTCCTGGCCTTAGACTATGAAAACAAAATCATGGTGACTTTCCGCCTCCATGGTCCTCCTCTCCGTTTTATTGGCTCAAATGAAGAAATTCGTTACATAGCCAATGAACTAGATGACTTAATCGGGGCTCCCAACACTGTTGTCGTTTTTGGCATCTGGGCTCACTTTGGTTCTTTTCCCATCGAGGTGTACATCCGGCGGCTACAAAGGATCCGCAGTGCGGTGGTACGGCTGTTGGACAGGGCTCCAAAAACGGTGATCATCATCAGGACTGCAAACCCCAAAGCTTTGTGGCTTGATGTGGTGATAAACAACAGCGACTGGTTCTCGGTGCAGTGTGATAAGGTGCTAAGAGCCATATTTAAAGGACTGAATGTTCATCTGATTGATGCCTGGGAGATGGTCCTTGCTCACCACCTGCCAAACAGCCTGCACCCACAACCTCCTATTATTAAGAATATGATGGATGTTCTCTTCTCCTACACATGTCCTCTAAAGGGCGGCTAGATAATAATAATAAAACATTTTATTTATCAAGCACTTATTCAACAATTACACCAATTGTAGTGTATATCATATTCTTTGCAAGCTTTTGCGGGCCACATAAAATGAGGTCGTGGACCAATTTTGGCCTGCGGGCCTTGATTTTGACACCCCTGGTCTAAACAATACATTGATGTTTTCAAATGTTTTTTTTTAAATGAAGCTCAGCGCAAGTTCTTTCAGGAAGACCGGGTATATCAGAGGTCGCGTTAACCGAATATTTTCCGTCTATGATGGAATTTTTCCAAGAATGACGGAAAAATCTGAAAGCAGTCCGTCATTTTGACAGATTAGAACACAACTCGGAACAGCGCCAAAATGTCCACCAGCGGCCCACATTATATTACATCCTTAGTGGCCAGGTCGACTGAGGGAGAATGTGTATAAATATATATAGATACATTTTCATAACAAAACAATGGGGTTGCTAAGCCGTTGCTAGGCCAATTGTTGGAGTTGCTATAGCAACTCCAAGCTACCCCCTGGCGCCGCCCCTGCCTCGTTGTTTAACCGGCTTTAGCAATCGCAAAATGTCACGGCAGCGCAGAGTGTCCGAAGCTTTTTTAATAAGCCCAGTAATTGTGATGGTGTGGATAAACGAGGTGAAAAAAGAGGGATTGATGCAGTGGAGGATGAAGGACAAGCCAGTAAGACTAAAACTGACAACGTTCAGCTAGCCAAAAAGTTTGCCCTCCCCTGCCCTATATGCTCACGGCTGCATTTCCCCCTTTAGATATACGATTTCAGGATCGGGGTCTAATCACCAAAGACTTAACACTTATCATATGGCATGTGTCAATAAATGTTCTTTAAACAAAATGAAGTCTCTCCTGATTGAACTCAAGTTGAGAGATATAACAAATTATAATACCAGCCTTAATATTAAATTATATCCAACTTAACTTCAAAAGTCATACTGTATATTCATAAAAATATACCTCAGAAGATTTGAATGTGTTTTTTAAGGAACAGAAACCGGTTATTTTGATGATGGTAGGATGTTTATCAAAGTATTGGTGTAACACTGTTAATGTATTACACATAAACAAGATGCTGTTTTGTCATCAGAATTGGGTTCTGGTCTGGTTCAGTGTCTGTGGTTCCTCAGTGTCTCTGGTTCCTCAGTGTCTCTGGTTCCTCAGTGTCTCTGGTTCCTCTGCAGGTCTGAGAGTCTCTCCTGACGACAGAAACTGACTGCAGAACAGCTGCTGAAATCAGTTCAGTGTGTTCACCATCACACACACATCTGTCTCACACTCAGACACAAAACATTTTTTCTGATTCCATCCATATGGCTAACATCATACTTACAAATGTATAACATTTCTACATTTTCATTTACTTGTTCTATATTTAGCTGTCTTGTGTAGGTTCAGAGAAACGTGTGATGTTCTTCGGGGTAGCGGTGTGTTTCCTCTGGTCTCCTGAGGTGCCTTGTATCCTCTTTGAGCAGCGTCAGTGTTTGCTGCCATAAACTGATTCTGAATCCAGTTTGAAGCCACATGTTTACCATATGCAGTGTGGTATAAAATAATCAGAAATACTTTCTTTGTTTTGATTCAAAAGATGACGTATTGTTTTTATAATGGTACGAGACATCTGAAAACCAATTGCCTTCTTTAGCTTCCTCTTGAATAATACTGTAATGTTATAAATGTAAAACTGTGATATTTTTCTTCTAATGTTTCAAATTATTTTGAATAAAATATTTTCTTTTTATTCTGAGGCTAAGCTTTTGTTTTGTCATAAAGTAAAACTAGCACCAGAATCACTTCACACATCTTCTAACACCCCCCCTACTGGTTATACTACTACATATATTTTGAAGGATTAAATGCTAAAACATATTTTTGGAGAATATTCAATAACTCCACAGTGAAGTGCTAACAACAACACTTGGATGCTCTCCTTTCGGTTATAGTTCAACTCTTATTTTGAACATTTAACATTATTATGGTGGTTTTTAAATAATAAATGAGTCCCCTGTTGGACAGTTGTGTGTCACGTTAAATGTGTTAAAATACACATTTCTTCTGTATTTTATTTCCACATTTATTTATTATTTTAATGTATTTATTCATACATTTATTTATACATTTATGTTTCTATCAGTTTATACTTATGCCATGTTCTGTCCTCCATACTAACCCCTTCACTGCTGTTCAATCCACCTTTAGTTCCACATCAGTTATTAGATTGGGTTTCACATGTTAGATTATTAACCCTTAAATGTATAAACTCACCCTTTGAATCAGTGATGAAGTAAATGGAGGCCCAATTCCAAACCACACCCACTCCCCCTCCGTCTGAAGTCACAGTCACAGCTGAACGAGGCTCCCTCCTTTCAGACGGAGGGTGTAAATACAGCAGCAGCTTTGGAGCAAACTCCCCTCTCTCCGGCAGCAACAGGAAATGCCGTAACCCTTCGTAACAACGGTTTCAAATCAGCATCTCTTGGATAAAACATTTGGACACAAAAGAAAAAAGAAAAAACTCCAAAAATCTTAAATTGTGTTTATTTTTTTTGTAAACCTCTTTTAGTTTTAAAACCTTTTAAGCTTCTTATTTTTTTTCAACAGTCTGTAAATATACACAACTTTATAATATAATGCACACATTTACCGTTTTCTAGACTAAACACAGGTATGATCCTGAGTTAAAAACAATACGAGGGAACAGGAAGTTGTTAACATCTGTATGAAGATATTAAACATCTATCTTGTTGTTCAGTAAATGTTGGAACTGTTTGTAAGCAGCGTGTTTCCTGACGGACACACACACGTTGGTCGGTCAGGTGGAGCAGCAGGTGAAGTCAGGTGATGCAGACTCTCTTGATAAAACACTCCCCCTCCACACTCGTTGGTTTGGAACTGCACTTAAAGGTCTCCTATTGTACTATTTTTAAGCATATATTATAGGTCTGAGATATAAAAAACATGTCTCTGAAGGGTTTTGCTAACCCTCTGGTAGAGTAGCAGTGTATCTGGATCTTCCTGCTGGCTCTCTCTCCTTCTACAGAGTCTCCTCTGACACACTGGTCCACCTCCACACCTTCAGAACCACATTCACTGAACCTCTCTATGCTGGGTTTGGGTCAGGGTTCTCGTTTTGTGTTGATTCCTCTTCGGTGTCTCTGTGTCCTCTGCAGGTCTGAGAGTCAACATGTTCACACTTATACATACATATACTGATATACTATGTAACATTTCTACATGGAATTGTGTGAAACGAGATGCTGACTGCAATGATCCACAGAATCTATTTTTGTTCTTGTTTTGATTGAGAAAACATTCTGTTCGTCAAATGATGAGCAACATTTGAAAACAATCAGTTTGGTAATTTCTATGACATTTGAATTATTCTGTAATGTAATGAGAGTTGTACTGTCCTATATTTGTTATGTTTCTAAAGACTTCTAATAAAATATTTAATTTGTTCATTATTGCAATCTTTTGTTTATTCGTTTACTTTTGTCTTTCCCACGTTACGTATATGTTTATTTATGTAGCACATTCAAAGACAGCAAATTTTGAATTAAGTGATTCACAAAGAGATCAAATAAAAGGAGAATTGTAGGCCCAGATGCTTTGGCACAAGCTGTCAACACATTAAAAGATCAATGTAGAGATAACATGGGGGGTGGAACTCTTTCTATAAAGTGAGGAAACAGACTCACTGTCTTCAGTTCAATTCTGTTTTTTATTAGAGAACAATGCATCAAACCCCGATTGTCTGCAGTGACTTATTTTTTTAACCTGAGGAGACTCTAATATCCTGCAGTGATCTCACAAGTGTTAGATCTCACAGGATTGGTGTAGTGGATCTTGTGGTTGCAAAGATATAAACTAATACATCCGTCATTTCCAACAGGTGCCTGAGCGAGGGCCAGGGTCCACTTGGAAAAATATTTTAGCTAGTAAAATAGTTAATTCATCCATTTAATAACCTCAAATGTGCATCTATTAAAAAATGTCACGTCTTTGAAGATTACACAACAATAAAATCCAACAAAGGTAATCAACATGTGAAACCACACAGACACACACACACACACACACACACACACACACACACACACACACACACACACACACACACACACACACACACACACACACACACACACACACACACACACACACACACACACACTATTGGAGTCAGGACTCAGAGAGAGACGAGGAGAGCTGGAGCTTTGATGGCAAACACTGACGGTTTATTTGGAGCTTCGGCCGGAGAATTCACAAGACATGTCACGGGCCATGGTTTGACCACACGGTAGAGATGCCAAATCACTTCTGAACAGTGGCGAGCCGTGAGCTTTATACCTAGGCCCTCTGACCCCCACCCCTTCCTTCGAAAAAAAGACGTTATTACGTCACAGCATATTCTTCAGCGGAATATCAAAACAACGGCCCAGGGTGCAAAACGCATCAATGACAGCGACCCTCTACCACACAAAACAACACCTGTGAACCCAATTTGTGTTCTTTGACATTGAAAAGGATATTGCATTGTGTTTGTTACTTTCATTGCAGTTGTATGTCTTAAGTGTAATTTGGCATGCTTTTATTTTGAAGGCGAGTTCACGCTGTTGACAGGAAGTTGTTGTTGCTATGGAAACAAGAAAAGTTTCACAGCGGGCGGAACTCGTCATAAAGTCCGCGATAATAAAACCCACCCATTTAGAGGGAAGATATGATTGGTCAATTGTACTGTCATTTGACATTACTCTCTCGTTCAGTTACTATAGCGGGCCCTCTGTGAACCCTCCTGTAGCTCCAGGTTTAACTAGTTCAGAGTGTAATCATCAACATTCTTCAATAGATAGACTAAACAGCTGAGGACACTGAACAGGCCCGGTTCCAGAACAAAATGACTCAGGGTGTATCTGAGATTAGAGAGGGTGCAGTGGTAAAGTGCTATTTTTTTCACTTTTAATTTTTCAAATGAGGGTGCATAACGGCTCAACTGAGGGTGCAATGCACCCTTATGCACCCCCGTAGAACCGGGCCTGACACTGAATCACATTTGTTGACGCTTATGGCTCGGGGTCATGCTCCCCCGGGAAGATTTTGTTTTAAATATTGAAGTTAAAAGCAACAATCTGGTGCACTTTGAGAGCAACATGAAGAGATCTATGGATACCTCTCTCA